TGCACAGTTCAGGGTCATATGCAGAAAGTCAGTAAATTATCTGAGTAGTTGAATCATAATGTATATGGCTGGCAGAAATGGCTTCCGGTCAAGTCCCTCTGAAAATCTAATTTAGTTTGCCAAACTGTTTAGTGGAGAGGAAGTAGCTTAACTGACACTCACATGCTATGAGAATAACCCTCCCAAAGCTGTCCTCCGAATGCCAGTGAGGGGCACCGCCGCCGGCAGCTGAGCTAAAACTGGCCCGGTCCATTTCGATGCTTCTGCCCTTCCAATCTGGCCACGTGGCGTCGCTGACCCACACTGAAGGCTTCATCTTTCTAATCATTCCTTAGCTGTTCTCTGTGTCATCACTGCCATGCTCTAGTTAAGATGCTAGTCCTTCCTTTCTGGTCACCAGGCCCTCAGGGAAGCCACCTGTCCACTCCATTCATTTCTCGAACTTCATTTAGGGCATTTGTGCGTTGTATGTCATTGAGGATGGTGAGTCAGGTTGGCATTGAGGAAACAAAACAGGTTTTCTTTTCTTTTTGCTTTCTTTCTTCCTTCCTTTTTTTTTTTTTTTTTAATTTTAGGGAAGGGTCTATAGGGTGTTCAGGGTCTTACTACAAGATTGGATTCATAGTGATTGGCCTGTTTACAGCCTCCCAAGAGCTGGGATTACAGGTGCACGCCACCATGCCCAGTCTCAATTGCTGTTTTAGTGCACCCTGGGAGCTGGGCTGGGGCTGGCATGGCAGGCCTGGGGATTGAACCCCAGACCCCTGCGCCTGCTTGCAGGCACTTTAATCTGCTGAGCTATTTGGCTGGCCCTACAAAACAGGTTTTCAATAAACATTTGCTTACCCAAAACCTAAAGAAGACATAATTTAAACTTTGAAATTGAAAAAAAGTAGATTTCTGGAGTTATCTCCTAAGTCATTATTATTTTTTTTTTCAGAACTGGGGATTGGACTCAAGCCCCTGCTCTTGCCAGGCAAGCGCTCATTCCACTGAGCCCTCTCCCCGGCCCTCCAAGTCATTATTTGTAAGCTCAGAGAAACTCCAAGCAAAAGGACTATTTTCATGACTTGGTGTATCTATCTGCTTAGCTAGATCTACAGGAAAATTAAACACAATAAAGACAAAGTCAATAAGAATGAGGAAGAGAAAGAAGTTTGTACTCCCATTCTCCTTTTTTATAGTTCAGATGTATTTACAATAAATAACTCCTAAAAAAGACAAAAAAGTAGCCCAGCCATGCCGATTTCTTCACAGATGCAAGTCAACATCACTTGTGTGTTTTGGGTTCTGCTCTAAACTCAGCTTCTGAAATCTTGCTCCCCTTCGATGCCATCATTGGGCATGATTTTATTTTTGCTTTTATTTCTTGCCCATAAGCGATGTTTACCTGTGCTTTGATGTTTTACTTACTAACTTTGACCACATAGTTTAAAGGAAATTATAGAAATCTCTGGTGCCGAAGGCCACTAACAGGCCTCCCCTTCTCAGATGTGGTTGTTTCTATTATTGTCACTTGCTTGCATTTGTTTCGAGTTCCTGGTGAACCAGACTAATTGCCAGGTTGTCTTTATGCCCTTATTTCTTTCTTTCCCAATTATGCAGAGCAATTTTGTTTTCTTTTAATAGTACGGATAGTAGGTTAATCATAGTTCCACAGACTTCTACTAGAGGGTGAGCACGGGTAGCAGCCACACTGACCTCCTGCCAAGATTTAAGCAGACTCCAGTCTAAATTGGATGGCTAATTCCAGATTTACATGGCGTTGCGATGGCCCCTCTCCCAAAGAAATCTCATATTAGTGCCCTGAAGCCATGTTTGTTTTACAATTTTCAGTGCCTACTACATTTACTTTGATGAATAACTTTTCAGCCAAGTCCATGAAAATATCATAAGTGAAATAATTTACATCATAGTGAAAACTTCTTGTTATAGCAACATATATTAATCCATCATGTCAATTCAGACTCTTAAAACATTTTCATGCAGGATTTGTTTCTTAAAACCTGCTTCCTCTAAAAAACAGGATAAGCTGAATTATACAAGAGTTTTTTCAAGCATGGTGCCAAGCGAATACAGAGTTTTTCTGTGTACCGAGAGGGGAGTTGTCCTAACCAGCAACCTGTGAATAGAATGAGTGTTGGGCAGTCCGGTTTATTAATAGCACCTCACAAACTCGCGTCAGCACAGTAGAGCTTTGTTAAAATGCGTCAGTTGCACATGGTAGAATATAACTCGCTCAAATGTAATGAATTGTTAAAACTTCGTTTAATCTTTTTAAAGCAAGTTCCCCCCCCAATGCAAGTTTTAATATGCTATTGTCACCATTGAATGAACTATATTTGCATAGAAAATTAATGAAATGAAGTCAATGATGAATGAATTCACCTCTTAATTCTGAGTTTTGCCACCTTACAATTAAGGTCATCATTTTATTTTATGTCTTGTTTCAACTAACCATTGCAAAGTAAGTCTAAGTAAGAAGAAATATGTCAATCGTATATAAATAGTAACACAAAATAAGGTAGGAGTAAAATAGTAGGCATAATAAAAATAAATCATTTTCATGCCAAATATCTGTAACACTTCACTGATTTAGTCGTCTTTGAGCTAAAAGGAAAAGAATCACTTTGAAAAGCTTTACTATTTTTGTGAGGACTTTCTTCTATGAGTGATTTGACTGTTATAAAGGTAGAGACCGTGGGCATAAGCAACGGTGAGGAACATTTTCTACAACTGAATTTAGCTGTGAATTGATATGTACATAAGAACTTCTAAGCTTAAGTAATGATTTTGGAATCCATGGACTGTTGTGAAGTTTATACCAAATAATTGTATTTACTAAACATTATTTACTAAACATCTGAAACACATTTTGCCAAGTTTCTATATGCTTTATAGATGGTAATAAAATTCAGTGTGATTTTATATCGTCTCTTTGAAGTAAATGAGAGGTCATTTATAAAGCTAAATTAAAGAGAATGTAGGTGTCTGTTAGGTGATTATAAAATGTGGGGCAGGTCAGCAAAGAGGTTGCTAACAAGTATGAGAAGCAGAGAGCGCTAACCTGTGATTTGCTGTCTGTATTTCACTCTAATACAATGCCTATTAGAAGTTTGCTTTCTCAGACTGCCAAGGAAAGAATTATTTGCAAAGTATCATCCAACAGAGTAGAGAAAAAAAATGAGCTGAGGTCTGTCTTGTAGGTGGCCTGCGGGGTACCCTTGGATCATGACAGGTTACGGGGTCCTTGCTGCATGTCTGGGGTGAGCAGTAGTGGGTCCAGCTCTGGCCACCACTACAGCGCCCTAGGGAGCATTTGGTCAACACATTCCCAGAGCGCGCAGAGTCCCTGAGGATAGGGTGTATTTTCTGCATTTAAAAAAATTACCTTCCTACTCCACTGGTTTTAATGCCTAGTGACTAAGCGTTGAGTAATCTCTGGAAGTCGCTTGCTTTCACCCTTTGTACTGCTAACTTTGGCACAGTATGCAAATAGCCTTCCCAGGGGAGCCTCTTCTACCAAGGCCCAGGTGGAGAAGACCAGTGAGGCAATCACAGCAGTGCACTGCTCTGCTACGAACAGGAAGCACGCTTGGGCCTACCGAACAATCGAATCGCATTCTAAAATTAAAGGGGGTGCTGGTGAAATGGCTCAGTGGTCTAAAGCACCTACTTAGAACAAGCTTGGCAGAGCACAGGGACCACGGTTCAATCCCCCAGCACCACATGCCAGTCAGCCGTGCCCCCTGGTGGGCTGAGCTGGACACACACACACACACACACACACACACAAATAAATGAATAAAATTAAAAAAAAATTAAAGGGATTACAAAGCATAGTTACTTTATATTTTTCTTACAAAAATTTGAATTCCTAAAGTGTCTACTTTATGTTTAAGGAGGATGATGGATTAGGTTAATTAGGACCACAGTGAAGTCAGGGGTCAGAGAGTTTGTCCCAGCCTACATTGTTGCAAGTGGTGTCCCCAACACCACAGATCACCTGACCCATTTTAGGCACTCAGTGACTTTATTTTTAAGGCAGGTTCTCGCTACGCAGTGCAGGGTGGCCTTAAACTCACTTATGTAGCCCAGGCTGGCCTCAAACTCACAGCAATCCTTCTGCCTCAGCCTCCCGAGTGCTGGGATTATAGATGTGCTGCGCCATGTCTGGTTTTCTATTTGTCTATATTTCTATGTAAAAATGTAATTGTAATGGTTAAGTGTCAAACTTTTTCTATGTATTATAAATTTATTAAGCATTTGTATGAACTGTTAGTCTTTGTAATACCTCATTCATACATAGCAGTGGAAAACCTTGTACCTGTGCTTTTTTCTTCTTTTTATGAATAATTTATTAAAATGAGTTTTAGAGAGTGCTACTGGGTCAAAGGTTGTAAATCTTTATGGTTCTTGATAAGGGTTGTTAAATTGCTTTATGTATGTTAGTTACCTGGATTTAGCTGTTCTGTAATTCTGTAATGTAGCCAATGTGTAATGGGTACACACTTCAAAATACCCTGTTATAGGGGATGGATAGACAATATTTGTCATTTAAATCTATAAATAATGAATGTATAGATTGCCAGGTAAATAGCTGTATAAAAAAATTGTATCTACTTTTATGGCCATCAAGAGTATACTGTCTTAAATTTTTGACTACTTTTCTGAAATATGGTAGATGTATTTTAAATTAAAAAATTCATATATTTACTTTTATAAAATTTAATTAGTAGACTATACATACAGAGAATGGTGTGATACGTCTTTTACGTGTTCCATTAAAATACTTTATAATGGGAACAAATTACCAGGATACAAACTAACAGGAAGGGATGCAATTTAAATATATACTGTCACATATACCACAACAGTAGCTAATTTTAATTTTCTTCTTCATACTTTCTTGTTTTTTCCTGGTTGATCACAGTGAGCAATGCACTAAGAAGGAATGTCCTCCTCGTAGTCTTGAGATCCAATCTGTGTCTTCCTTTTAGGAAATTTACCAGTGGTGTGGCTCCTCATGCAACAAATATGAGCGCCTGAAAGCCAGCCAGGTGGCCATCGGCATTCGGGACAACGAGCGGAAGGGCAGATCTCAGCTCATCGTGGTGGAGGAGGGAAGCGAACCTTCGGGGCTTATTCAGGTACTGTGAGCTGTGTCAAATTGCTAGCTGTGCGCATGCGTGCACACACGCACGGGCACGCGCACACACGCACGGGCACGCGCACACACGCACGGGCACGCGCACACACGCATGCCTGTGAAGATACACGTGTGTGAGAGAGCGCGAGAGAGCGCACAAGAGAGAGAGAGAGAGAGAGAGAGAGAGAGAGAGAGAGAGAGAGAAAAGAAGGAGGAGGAGGAAGAGGAGGAGGAGGAGGAAAAAACCACATTTTTCTAATACCGAGTCTATGCTAACATTACGTACGATTAAACATCAGGATTATCTAAGCCCTGGCACAGAGGAAGTGGATAGCCATGGCTGTTTTCTCTTACCATCTGTATGGTTATCGAAGGAAACCCTGACTGTCTTCTGGGGACAATGAGGACGAACACAGGGCTAACACTTCTGATCGACTATAACATATGTTTTGGAAGGAAGGTAATGTTTCCTTCATTCATTTTCTTCAATTTGAACTTTAACAACTGTTTCATTAAAGGTATGAAATAAAATTTTATGCTAAGATATTAAATGCACAAATATTTTAAATATCTCAATCAAGCAAAGAAGCTTGTCTTACAGACAAGGCACTTTTACTATAGTTCTTTTTTTAAAATAGATGTTTAAATCATTTATTTATTTATTTGGCACAGGGTCTTGCTATGCAGCTCAGACTTGTCGTGATCCTCCTGTCTCAGCCTTCCCAGTGCCAGGATTACATGTGTGTGCCACCACACCCAGTTTCCAGGCTGACTGGGGTGCTCTCGAGGTTCTAGGGCCAGCATGGCCTTTGGTATGGGGGATTCACCTCTGGTCCTTGCTCTTGCCAGGCAGACACTGGGACTGCTGAGCCACTTCCCCAGCCTATAGTTCTCAAATTGATGTGAAAATTAGCTCCCTATAGTTCTACAGACCTACATCGTTTGCTAATCTTGGACAGTGAGTTGTGACCAGTGTTTCCCTTTTAAGAAAACTGCAGTGATGACCTTGGAGTCCACACTGTAGAGATTCCCTCAAGTAAGATGATGAGAGGATTGAATCATGCTCAGAGGTCTTGTCATCAGTTGGCAAATTTACTCCTTTTTATTTATTTGACAGTCTGCTGAACTCCTGCAGTACACCAGACACTAAATATTTCCACCAAATGTTGCTTTCTATTCCATTATAACCTTATAGAGCTTTACCATGATTTATTGCAGTTCTTTTTTAATCCTATGCATTAAACTGTTGTAGGTAGCTTTGTTTTGAATTTCATTTCTCTAATTTCCTAGGATCATGAATTTCCTTCCAATGACTTTCAACTGTTTTCATTAAAGTTTTTCTCAGTGTTCTCTGATAAATATACTTTTAATGTTTCTAACTTAGAGCAACTTAATGCCCTCGTTACATTTAATGCTTTAATTACATTAGTTACATGACATACTGTCAACAGGAAATAAAGTTTAAATATGTTACAGTGATTCAGTCATGAAAAATTATTAGATAATTTTATTTCTTATAATAGCTTTAAACTTTATTTCTTTAATAGCCCTCATCTACAGGCTTTTACATTAATGATATTTTAGGAATAATTTTAATTCAATGGGGAGAATGCTGGTGGTATAGTGAGAAAAGATAATAACATTTTATATATAGTCTTATATGTGTGTAGATGTCTATTCAGATATACTGGACCTAAATATCTGGAATGAGCCTAAAATATCACCAATATTATCTTTGACTTGGGATGTGACTGCTTTTCATTTTCTTCCTCCTTTGTCCTTGTATTTTGAAAAATGTTATATAATGAACATATATTAGTCCCTTTATGATCAGATAAAGTAAACAAAACCACTAAAAATCAAATTAAAGATAGCTCATTGGCTTTTCAGTAGTTAGAATAACATTGCTAATAAATGAGACTGAAAATTCTTCAGAACAAATTCTTAATTCTTTAATATTCTTCGGGGGTCACTTAAATGTGACTAACCATTTATATCTTCTAACTTGTGTCTTTGGAAGCAAAATACATTTCATTCCCTGTTGTCTTCTCTCTTCCCTCCCTCCCTCTTTTACTTTCTTTCTTTCTGTCTGTCCATCTGTCTTTCTTTCTTTTTTTTTCCTGGTACTAGAGATTAAACCCAGGGAGAGCTGAGCGATGTCCCTAACCCTTTTTAATTTTATTTTTATTTATTTTGCAATAGTGTCTCCTTAAATTGGCCGGGCTGACCTCAAACTTGTAATCCTGCTGTCCCAGGCTCCTAAGTAACTGAGGTTGCCGGTGTGTGCCACCACGCCCGGCCAAGGTGTATTTCTAGTGGATGGGAAGCCCTTGCTTCTGCATCATGGAAGGGCCCCTTTACCCAAGGCAAATGTGCTTCCCCACATTCACACTGAAAGTCTGGAGCCATGGATGAACTAACCCTATATATTTCATGTTTCTTTGTGACATATACACACCTAGGATAAAGTTCAGCTGGTAAATTACTTAGCGTGGGAGATTAGTGATAATAAGAGAGAACAATGATAACAATATACTGCATGGAAGTTGACTGTGGTCTCCCTGAAAGCATGGAATTTTCCATTTAATATTTTTGGACTGTGATTACCCAAGGGTAACTGAAACCACAGAAGGGGAGGCCACGGGTGAGGGGCTGCTGTGGTTTGGGAGAAACAGAGCCAAGAAAGGGCCTCACCCTGCGCAGGGCAGAGGGGGCCTGGGGCAAAGATCAGGCCTGTCCCCTGTGTTCCATGGTTCGTGGGCCTGGGGTGAATTTCCTGAACTTTCCTTTCTCTTGTTCCCCATGCACAAAGTTTTGACATAGTGGCCTCCGTGGTCCCTTTGGCTCTGGGTGTCCACCTACCCCTTGGGCTGGAGGATCTCTTGACCTTTGAAGTCTGTTTCTCCACATGAGGCCACTTGGGCTGAGGGGCTTAACTGTGTGCCCACAGTTGCCTATGGGTCTCATTCAGGGATCTGAAAAAGAGAATTGAAAAGCCAGTCAACACATCATACCACATTATTACATTAAAATAAAAAGAGACCCAAGAGATGGAGAAGGGATGGGAAGTAAAAAGAAGTGAGATCTTATGTCCAGGTACCATCTCATAATATGTGTGGTCATTCTGCACTGCAGATGTGGACTCTTGTAAGACTCTTAAAAAAATGTAACAGATGGAACCTCAAGAAAAATGTATAAGGAGAAAAGAAAGAAAGAAGGAAAAAGAAATCTATATCTGTATCTATATCTATATCTATATCTATATCTATATCTATATCTATATCTATCTATAGATAGCTTGAATAATTGTACTGCTGATTTCTGCTGGTCTTTTGAAAGAAGTTAATGCTTAATTTTTTTCTCTCTTGTTTTTAATTTTTTAGAATTTTTTGACCAGTCTTACAAGCTTATATTTGGTAATCTGAAAACTAATTTGAAGACATCCATATGCAACATAACAACCATTGTTGAGTTCCTATCATTTTGTTTAGTGAAGTTCTGTATCTTTTTTCTTTCTTTCTTTCTTTCTTTCTTTCTTTCTTTCTTTCTTTCTTTCTTTCTTTCTTTCATGTATTTGGTAAGGGTCTCACCACACAGCTCGGACACGTAGTGGTCCTCCCAGCCTCCCCAGCACTGGGATTACAGGCATGCGCCACCAAGCTTAGTCTAGGTGGCCAGCTCCGTGTGCTGAGGAGCAGGCCAATGTGTCCTGTGGGGATTTAACCTGGTCCCTGCATTTGCCTAAACAGATGCTTAGTCTGCTGAGCTATCTTGCTGGCCCTTTATCATTTCTAATGTTCTCTTTAAAAAGAAAAAAATTAAAAAGGAAAAATCTGTAAAAATACAACTCTAAAAATAATAATGAAGGGTTCTAGTACTCCAGGGTTCTGTAGGGCAGAGACTTCTTGTTTTGAGTTTTAAAAAACTTACCAAACACTTACTATGTTTACATTTAATACATTCAATGTGTGCACTTAATGCCTTGCATTATATTTGGCAATTCTTGCTCACACAATGAGATAAAATAAAGTTTCAGCAGGTGCCTTCCTCAGATAAGAGAAAGCCCAAAGGCCTCTTTGCTGTTGTATTTTAGTAGTGTCTGATCACAGAAGTATGACGTTATTTGATGAATTAACTAATGGTCAACTAGTCTGACTTATTAGTTTTCATAGTGCTCTAAGTATATGAGTAGAATTAAAAATTGTCCCCTCGCCCCCCAGGGGTGCACTGAGCCAGCGATGGAGTCTAGCATGGTGGTGCATACCTATAATCCCAGCACTAGGGAGGTGAAAACAGGAGGATCACTGTAAGTCTAAGCTGTGTAGTGAGACCCTACACACACACACACACACACACACACACACACACAGTTGTCCCTAGCTGGGAAAATTACAACTTCATTTTCAATATTTTTTAAGTAAAAGGTAGAATTTCCTCCAATTGTAAATGTACTACTACAAAAAAAAAAAAAAGCAAAAGCAAAACCCAGTCTTTTAAGATCACAAGTTTAGTGATTTTTTTGGATTACAGCTTACTTCCTGTAGGTGACCTCAAAATATTTAGCTTCATCACTACTGTGTAATTTAATCACGATTATTAAATCTGCTACTCAGTCATATTACTTGGCAAGTTAACCGCAAAGCTCATGCTCCTTCATCAAGTTTCTTACAAAATGTTTTGACATTTGCATTGCAACATAATCAGTCTCTTTTATAATACTTTGCATTTCTTTTGTGCATTTAAAGATATTTTTCTTAAGAAAGGCCCAGTAGACTGCACAAGCGGTCTGTAGGGTGCGCACCTGCTCTCACACACGTGCCCGTGTTGGTGAGGACAATGAGATGTCGTTTCTTTTTCTGAGATTACGGTAACTGGTGATTTTGCTAGAAGAGTCTAAAAATCTAAACATCTTTCCAAATACTTTAATAATTTGAACTTTCAAGTAATTCGTTAATAATGAAGATCTTTTAAAAGTATATTTAAAAAAAAGACTTTGAAAGC